ATATATACATATACATATATACATATACATATATATATACATATATACAGGTCCTTCTAAAAAAATTAGCATATTGTGATAAAGGTCATTATTTTCCATAATGTAATGATAAAAATTAAACTTTTATACATTTCAGATTCATTGCACACCAACTGAAATATTTCAGGTCTTTAATTGTTTTAATACTGATGATTATGGCATACAGCTCATGAAAACCCAAAATGCCTGTCCCAAAAAATTAGCATATCATGAAAAGGTTCTCTAAACAAGCTATTAACCATCTGAATCAACGACGTAACTCTAAACACCTGCAAAAGATTCCTGAGGCTTTTAAAAACTCCCAGCTTTGTTCATTACTCAAAACCACAATCATGGGTAAGACTGTCGACCTGACTGCTGTCCAGAAGGCCATCATTGACACCCTCAAGCAAGAGGGTAAGACACAGAAAGAAATTGCTGAACGAATAGGCTGTTCCCAGAGTGCTGTATCAAGGCACCTCAGTGGGAAGTCTGTGGGAAGGGAAAAGTGTGGCAGAAAACGCTGTACAACGAGAAGAGGTGACCGGACCCTGAGGAGGATTGTGGAGAAGGGGCGATTCCAGACCTTGGGGGACCTGCGGAAGCAGTGGACTGAGGCGTGTGCAGGAAATGGGCTACATGTGCCGCATTCCCCAGGTCAAGCTACTTTTGAACCAGAAACAGCGGCAGAAGCGCCTGACCTGGGCTACAGAGAAGCAGCACTGGACTGTTGCTCAGTGGTCCAAAGTACTTTTTTCGGATGAAAGCAAATTTTGCATGTCATTCAGAAATCAAGGTGCCAGAGTCTGGAGGAAGACTGGGGAGAAGGAAATGCCAAAATGCCAGAAGTCCAGTGTGAAGCACCCACAGTCAGTGATGGTCTGGGGTGCCATGTCAGCTGCTGGTGTTGGTCCACTGTGTTTTATCAAGGGCAGGGTCAATGCAGCTAGCTATCAGGAGATTTTGGAGCGCTTCATGCTTCCATCTGCTGAAAAGATTTATGGAGATTGTTGGATAAAATGTAAATGTTATCATTTAAAACTGTTTTTAGACCCCTCATCATTTAATTAAACTCCAGTCGTGTGAACTAAAGAATAGCCAGAGTCTTGTTCTAAGTGTTCATGTGCATGTGCAGTGAGACCAAGACCTTGGGTTTTTAAACAACCATGATGTTATTCAGATCTGACCTCGCTACCCCGGCTATCCCGTTTTGTAATCAAGCTGTCTGTTTAGTAATCTTTTCTGGCTCCGCTGCGTCGGAGAAAATCTGTATCTGTTGATTTTGCCTGTTGCTCACTCCTCCTGTCTCACAATAAAACACGACCTCTCCCGTCGAACGGCGGACTTCACCTTGTTGTTTGGTCAGGTCACGAACTCCCCCCTCTGCAGAGGGCTCATCAAAATTCTCACACTCTGTCTTGTGTGTGAATTCTTTAAAGGTGATACGAGGGAAAAAATCCTTAACATTCTTGGCGAGACAGCCAGGAGCTCCCCGCAATCCGTTCATCGTTGGGACTCGACAGGACACGCTGAAAGGTCGGCAATAGGCCGCCCAAAAAGCCCCGGACGCTGATTGTGTCACAGGCCAGCGGGATAGGTTCAGGTTCGAGACATCGGGGACAGACCGGCGGAGCTCCGGCCCACATCTCTCACACAAGGCGAGTATGAGACTTTTCCTTTTTTATAAGCAAAGTTGAACAGTGAGGTTGTTTGCTCAAAACAATGCTGAGACCCTGTTAAAGTGAAGCTGTTTTGCCCATACAATCAAGACCTGATTAAATAGTGAAAAAGAAAAAACAGTTTAAGCCAAGACCCAGTAAAGTACAGAAGTGAGATTGTTTGTTTAAACCACCAACCAACAACTTGTTTTGAAGTGAGATTGGTTTGCGCATACAATTAAGACCTACAGAAGTGAGGTGTGACAAGTCAAGACCTGATTTAAATAGTGAGACGGGCACCGAGACCTTATTTGGACATTTGGTGAGGCGTTAAATGAACACTAGTGCCATTTTTAATATAAAATGAGTCAAGACCTCCTCTGCAAGTGAGATTTCTAAGGGTTAAGAAACTTATAAACAAGCAACGTGAGAAAAGTGAGATTTTTCATGAGTAACGTGAGAAAAGTGAGATTTTTCATGAGTAACGTGAGAAAAGTGAGATTTTTCACCGATTACAAGCAGAAGTGAGACCTTTCCTGAATCAAGATCTTAATTGACAAAAGCAGGTGAGACTATGGTCAAGACCCTTTCTAAAAAATTTTGAGTGAGACTCATAAGCTGGCATTTATTCTGAAAAATTGTGAGACTGTGCAAAACTCCTGTCTGTCTATGTGTGACTGTCTGTCTGTGTGTATGTTTAAAGTGACAGGCTGATCCTGTGGAGGATCCTTGGCTGTACTAACAGACGGGACCCGAAGTAGATTTGCTTACAACCTTTTTTTTTTTTTTAACTGAGTTTGGGTTAAGTGAATCTTTTTCATCTGGGGAACAAAGACTGCAGCTTTGTTTGTCATAAAAAAAGATAACACCCACTAACTGCATAAGAAAAAACGCTAAAATACCTCGTCTACTTAGTCTGTAAAGCTTATTGAGTAATATAAGTTTACAGATAACTGTTCACTATTTGTTTTTTTGATTCTATAATGTCCTTCAAGCGTACAGCTGACTTTTTCTGTTATCTGTGGTGTTGCCGGCTCTCAGTCTGGGAGACCAAACGCACGCATGAACTCCCTCCCGTGTGATAACCACACACACACACAAACACACACGCTCGCGAACGACATGTTGTACTAAAGTTTTAAGAAGTATGACACTCTAAAAAACAAGTTATCTGAATTAAGATAAAAAAAAATACTGCATGATGTTGAAAAATAGAAATTGACATTGATTTTATAAACCATCTACATCGGGTAAGATTTCATTTTTCAGCACGACCTGGCACCTGCTCACAGTGCCAAAACCACTGGTTAATGGTTTACTGACCATGGTATTACTGTGCTCAATTGGCCTGCCAACTCTCCTGACCTGAACCCCATAGAGAACCTGTGGGATATTGTGAAGAGAAAGTTGAGAGAC